AAGACCCATTCTGGGAAGGAAGATACAATGTTAATATTAAACATGTGCGATTCGTTTCGTTTCGAAGTATCCGAAATCCGAATTGCAGTTTCCGAATTATATCCGAAATACGAAATTCTGTTAACGAATTTCGGATGCGAATTTCTTTGAAACAGGAACTAATATTACCCCTGTAAATGAGGTTAAACAACATGACAAGATTTTTTTTTTAATCCGAAATACGGATCCGCTGCTGCTGAGAGTTGCATTACAAATACAGGCAGGAAATACGCAATTCCGTTGATGTATTTTCATTCCGTTACGAACATTCGTTATATATTGAAGGTAAAAAGCAAAGTACATTCATATTGGAGTTGATGGTAGTTTTTTTTTAAGTCCGAAATACGAAATTCGGATACGGAATCCGTTAACGGAATCCGTATTTCGGATACAAAAACAACTACCACATCGACTCCAATATTAACAAAGGTATTTTTGCTTTTTAACTTCATCATAACGAATGTTCGTAAAGTTACGAAAATGTGCCGAAACTAACGAAAATCCGTATTTCGTACGAATCCGAATTGAGTTTCAGATACGAAATCCGAAATAATGGATATTACGGAACGAAACGAAACGGAACAAATTTTTTGACGTCGCACAAGTCTAGTTAATATCTGGTGGCACCGAGTAGTTTTTTGTTATATTCAGGAATGTGACATCTCTAGTTTGATTCACTATATAAGCTGTATGATTCATTCATAACAGGGAACCTATGAAGGAGAAGTCACAACAGGCACTTGGCTGGCATGATGGAACCAGAAGAGGGTATCTACATTCAGGGGGTCACTGGTAATAGTAAACACCTGACAGGTATGGAGACCTCACACACTATCCAAAACAATGAAAAAACGTTTTAGTTCCACTTTAAAGGTTTATACAAAGTTAAAGCAGAACTCTGGGGAAACTTTTTCTTAACCCTTGCAGTGGGGCTACCCCCGTACTGCAAGGGTTAAGTGATTGTTTTTTGTCTAGGTTTAAAAAATAACAAAAAGTTATACTCCATCCCATCTGCCTCCTTCTCTGCTGAAGAAATGGTAAAGCCCTCAGTGTTCTCGCGTCCTATACACCGTGTATAGAACATGATGACTCACAGGACCTTAGACTGCTGCAGCGGACGGGGAAGAGAGGCTCCAGGGACAGGTCAAAGAGCCAGCCGTCTCTGAGTTTCGGGTAAAACTTTATTTTTGTACCTAGACAAAAATAAGCACTTACCGTATATACTCGAGTATAAGCCGAGATTTTCAGCCCATTTTTTTTGCTGAAAAGTGCCCCCCTCGGCTTATACTCGAGTCAGCGTCATTTCTTCTTACTTACCTCGCCGAGCGTCGCGTCACTGCTGCTCCGGTGGGCGGCGCTCCGTGCGGGGTCATCTGGCAGTCTCCGGGTCCTAATTTAGGTGGCCGGAGACTGCCAGATGACCCCGCTCGGAGCGCCGCCCACCGGAGCAGCAGCGACGCTCAGCGAGGTAAGTAAGAAGAAAAAAAAACCCCCCGCAGCGGCCAGTCAGGCAGGGGAGCAGGGATGAGTCAGCGGCGCGCTGATCAGGCGAGAGGAGCTCCAGGTGGGGTTGTAATTTAGCGGGCAGGCACCTCTAAGCCAGCTAAATTAGGACCCCACCTGGAGCTCCTCCCACTGGACCAGCGCGCCGCTGACTCGTCCCTGCTCTTCCCGTGATGTGATGATCGATCACCGGCACACGGACACAGTGAGTGAGGGCGGGGGGGGGGTAGAGAGAGAGATTCATTAAGCAATTATATATGTATTGTCTGCACTGTATTAGCAGTATATACTACATATAGAGTATATACTGCTAATACAGTGAAGACAATACATTTACAATTATACTAACATAAATGTATTAAATGATCTGTATGTAGCCCTGTACTATGGATCATTTAACCCATTCATGTTAGCAGAGGATCATTGTAAATGTATTGTTGCAGGCACTCTATATGTACATGTACTATATACTACATATAGAATGCACTGAACAATAGATTTACAATTATCCTCTGCTAATATGAATGGGTTAAATGATCCGTAGTACATGATATGTAGCCCTGTACCCCCTTTTCCACTTACAGAGCTAGGTTATTTTTCTTTTAAATAAATATTAATGTAATTTTATTTGTATCTATCTACCAGTAGCTGCCTCGTTTCCCACCCTCGGCTTATATTCGAGTCAATACTTTCTCCCAGTTTTTTGTGGTAAAATTAGGTACCTCGGCTTATATTCGGGACGGCTTATACTCGAGTATATACTGTAACCCTTGCAGTGCAGGGGTAGCTTTAAAGATACATTGTTACTTCTCAGGGTAAAAGGGACAGGTTCTCTTTTGAGGGGAAAAAAAAACACCTGATCCACCAATTCCTTCATTGCATACCCCTACTGCTCTTCTCCTTCACCAGAGCTGGATATCCAAACCCCATGAAAGCTGTGTGTCAGATGTTGTTGGATCTTACGCAGGGTTAACTTCTTCCTCCTGCTTTTCAGTTGTCAGTATTCCTGCCGGGGAGATTGACAGTTCATCTGGCTGTTACCGGGGGCTCCATTGGAGCTCTAAAGGGTTTTCTCGTCCTCAATGGACAAAGTGACAGATTCTCTTTAACAAGGTAGGAAAAAGAGTCATGTCCAAGTTTAAACTCCTGACTGCTGCGGTTTTTGGTCCAGAAAGGCAAACAATACCTTCTGGACAACGGAGGACAATTTTGCCATACAGTAAGAAAAAGCTCCAAGGGCAGTCAGATGTTGAATATTCTGTGTTGGGCATGGTCTTATGTACCCAGGGAACTCTGGGGATGGATTTTCATTGCTGTTGGGCACAGGAAACTCCATCTCCTGACTTCCCTGGGAAGGGAATCAAGGGAATGTGAGCTGGTGGAAACATAGCAGGAAGGCTACTTGCTCACTATGGGGTACCAGCCTGTGTGTCTGGCGTGTGTCGGAATGGTTAGCTTTGGGGGAGCTGATGGCAGTTTTTTTTTTAATAAGACTAGATAGAGCAGTAGTCCTAACTTTTAGGGTGTATAAATCATTTGACAGTATGGTGGTAATAGTGGGAAACAATCTAACAACAGAGAATCAGAATGAGTTTGTAAACACATGGTTAGGTTTATGAGGAGAGAAGTATAAATCTGCATGTAGGGAATGCTATTGATGTGGTTCATTTGGATTTTGCTAGGGGCCCATTCACACCAGTGCACTGTAGAAAAATACATGTTACTGCAACTCATTGCAGCATGCGTTGGTACAATGCGACACCATTCATTCAAAGCACCAGCTTCGGCGCACACTGCAATGCATGGTAACATACTGCGCTGTGCTGCTGAATGATGTACGGTCCATTGTGCATTAGGCAGCCCAAGTAACGGCATAATGCCTTGAGTGGTATGAATGGGCCCTGTAGCATTTGATGCTTTGGCTTATAATTGCTCGGAACAGAAGTTATAGCCTACTTTTGGTTTTAAATAAATAGCCGACGAATTATAAAACTAAAGCATGCAGCTCTCGCGGTAATACTCTCATGCCATTCCAGTGCTGTAATCCATCTTCTCTAAAACTCCGCACCGTACTTCTAGTTTAAATGAGACCCGCAAAGAGTAAAGCTGGGATCAAAGGATTAGCGAAGATTGGCTGTAATAAGGACCTGCTGCTCACTCCAGGGTGACTGGTCTGCTTCCCACCACTTCCCTGTAGTTTTCTGCAGGCAGCCTGTAGTGAGTGGATATGCTGGGCCCCTCCCAAATCTCTGCGCAGCCCATCTGCACCCCTTTGCTATACATAAAGTCATTCTACAGCATTTATATTACATAAAAGTACAATGATGTTGACACTGGCATTGAATTTACTGTTGTAAATACATATTTATTGATAATGCTCTGCATATTAATGCATCTCCCATAATATTTAATGACAATATAACCAAGTAACCAAGAGACAAAGGGATAATAATAAGAATAGGCTGTTTTTCTAAAGGGCAGACTAATACTTGATTAGAGCAATCTACCGAAGTCTGCAGCTCCCCCATGTCTACTGACACTAGAACTGACAATAGCATACAGTACCTTTGCCTGCTTTATTATAACAAAGCTCACTATTAATATTCTTCAACGGGTCTAATCACCACCTCTTATCTGTTTTGCCTGAGGAAGGGACTTTGCTGTTCCGAAACGTCGCTCTGATGATGTGACACTTGTGAAGTCAATAAACATTGACTTTTCTACATGCTGAAGTGCTTGTGACCTTTTTTGAATTTTCTGGATTTATTCTGCAGAGCCATCCGCGGTCATTTCAGCACCCACCCTACAATTTGGGTTTTCTATCCGGTCAGGAGTGCAATGGGTCTGCATGTTGTTTTTTTTTTTTTTATCACCACCTCTGACCCACTCTATTCCATTATATGTAGTTACAGAGTAGTAGACAGTGTGTGTTTGTGTGTGTAATCTGTCCTAAAGCTCGCCATACAGATTGAATAGGAAAAATTCTACCCATGTATGGCCAGCTTGAGGAGTATACATATCCTGCTATGTTGTCCAGGAAGACATCTAGAAGTTTTTTTTGTTTTTTTTTAATACAAAATTTCCCTGCTATTAAGAACCTGTTAAACATAATGTACCATTTCTTGATCAGTTATGCTCATCAAATTTATTATCATGCTGCACTTCTTGGTTAAACACTACAATTAAGATTGAAGTAAATCTGTCAATACTCCCAGCTGGTACGCAGGGCCTGATTTACTCTCTCTGCTGCTCCAAGGCCAGGTTCCTCAATGCGCCCTGCCAACCCCCCCCCCAATGGAGAATGGCAGACCTGCAGGCTGCATACAAGTGATCTTGTCGACGTCACTGAGATCACTTGTACAAAACAAGCAACGGCTTTGCACGCTGTATATTTAGCTTTACTTGCCCAAAGCAGGGCTAAATGTAGAAAAAAACTACCCACCCGGAACTGCATGTCCTGGGCGTTGGGAGATAGGAATTTCACACCCCTGCTGCCCCAAGGCAGGGCCTTGTGGGAAATCCGGCCCTGCTGGTACCACTACCCGGAGATGAAGATCCACATTTTTGCTGCTCTGACCATAAACCCTCCACAATTTTAAATGAAACCTCCTTTCCTCCAACCTTAATTTGGGTCCACATGTCCTGTTCAGGGGCCCAAGATTAATCAAGTTGTGACTGACCTTGATTCATTTGCAGGTAGCAATCATGTCTACTTTTAAGTGCCTCCTCTCTAAGGTAAATGCATTTGGACTATTTAATCATTCTGAGGCCCTTTAGCCCCAGTATTACCTTCGCTGGACCCTTTCCAAATCTAGGACAACCCTTATCTTAACTGGACACCAAAACAGAAACGCATACTCAAGATGAGGCTGAACCAGTTTTGTATAAGGGGTAAGAGTGTTGATTTCTTCCTTGAATAAAAAACATTTTCAATGTGTATATAGTTCTGAGTTGCATTACTTTGATGGGTTTAAGTACTCACCAGTTACTACTGCTCCATCCCTACTTCAGCACAGTGCTATTTAGAAAGTATCACAGAACCTGAAGGGATTTAGACAATGATGAAAAAACGTATTTTATTGAACATATACAAATCTCTTTTTTTTCCGTCATAAAATCTTTTATAAAAAATAGCAAATGCCTTAAAAGTAAGTTTACATTTAAAATGTAAAAACCCAAATTTTATCTCAAAGGGCCAACATATAAAAAGTTGCTTCCACCAGGTTTACAGGATTTGTCATCTAAGACTTGCCTTCTGCGTCACGTAGAGCTGGGGAGGAAACAAAAACAGAACTTGTTAGAATTAGAAATGTGAAGAAGAAAAGATTTGTCTTACCTTATACATAAAGCCTTTAAGTATTTTCAGAAAGTGGGGAAAAGTTAAATGTCTGTGACCCCATGGGGGAAATTGCTCCCTCACTTGCTCACTTGATCCGTCTAAGGAATGAGGCGTGCCGTTGTCAACAGGAAAGCAAGACACAGACAACACTGTTCTAACTAGGGATGCACCGATACCACTTTTTTAAGACCGAGTACGAGTATCGATACTTTTGATCAAGTACTCGCAGATACCAATTACCGATACTTTTTCTTGAAGGGACAGGTCACTGCCATGCTCTCTCATCACAAGTGATGAGAGTGCATGGAGCCGTTTCCTGGCCAATCAGGAAGCCGGGCAGCGTGTAATGATGCTAGGTATCGGAGCATTTGGGCGAGTATGAGTACTCACCCAAATACTTGGTATCGGCACAGATACTAGTATCGGTATCGGTGTATCCCTAGTTCTAACCCTTCCTCACTCTACTAAAAATTTGTTTTTGTCCTATTGGAAACATTTCCATCACTTTTGGTCCTGACAGGAAGTAAGGGAAAATCTCCCCAGTAGGCACACAGACGGCAATACAAACACTGGCAAAGGTTCTAACCTTTCCAACATAAATAAATAAAATGTTGTGCATGGAGTTTATTTTAAAATACCATTATCAATGTTTTTTGGTAATTTACATTTTTTTAGTCCCAGTGACATCGTCACTAGGTTTTTCTGCTTCTCTGTGAAATGCAGGCAGATTATTCCTGATGGGATGAACCAGCAGGGCACTGTAAGTTGCTTCCTGGTAACAGGAAACTGTGGTTATATTCCTGAGCTTCCATTAATGAAAGAACTGAAATCAAATGAATGAAAGGGGCGGGTTGGGAATGGTAAGGCCGGGGAGGAAAGAGCTAGAGGATGCTGGAGATCCTCTAGCCAGAAAATGAGAAGGGCTTTATCTGACTTGCTGCTGCTTCTTATGTACACTGTGAAAAGCTAATTTTGTGCAGTGAAATCAAAGTAATTTTCAATGCAGGAGGGGAGTCTGTACAATTGTACAATTGTGCAAGAGGGAAGGTAAGGCTGGCGTTCATTTTTAAAGACAACAGATGTCCTTAAACTAATCTACCACTGTTACATAACAGGTTCTCCATGCTGAGCTGTATGTTACTGCTTTTTTGTGTGATTCCAAACTTAGCAGGAATAAAATGTCAAAAGGTATCAGAGGTTCTATGCACATGGCAACCATGTGCCAGTGGAAATCCATTCACTTACTTACATATTATTCAATAAGGGATGAGAAGAAATGCAAGTTAGTGAAGTCATATATTTAGAAAGGTATACTGGGGGTGTTGGGAAGGTTATTATAGTCTACAGTATTTTAGCAATGGATTCTGGTTTAGCTACGTTGTGAGGGGAGACGTACACTGTACGTCCCCGCCACTAAGTGCCCACATGACTGATCACGTACACTGTACACGTGATCAGCTATTTGGGGCTGTGGAATACTGGTAAGCGCTGAGAATCAGCGCTTACCAGCATTGCATAGCCCCAAATAGCTGATCAAGTACAGTGTACGTGATCAGTAAGAGATAAGCTTTTTCAGACACAGGTATTTACCGCACTTGCGGTCACTGTTTGACAGCTGGTACAAAATCGGGATCCCGATGTGTACCAGCTTTTTTTCTAAATGTTTCAGAATAGAAAGCTACATGTTTCTATTCTGAAATAATGTTGCAGGCTTCTGATCGTTCTGGAAAATACAGAAACATTTCTGAAATCCTAGGGGTGTGAGGTGTTTCCAAAAGGACAAATAAATGAATTTATTTTAATGCATTTTTTTAGATGTGCTATTTCTTTAAAAAAATAAAAACTGGGGAAAAAGTGTTTTAAGTTTTTTTCTCAATTGTTTATATTTGATTTGTCCTAGGTGAGGCCTAACGCATATGTGATATAAATTTATAGCCCTATCTGTCCTCTAAAAAACAATTTATAATATGTGGGTGCACTTTGTAAGAAAGTATATCACTGCCGTCGAAGAATCACACAGCAAAAATGTAAAAAGTGCTCAGTCATTAATGACCAGAAAATGAAAAAAAGCTCAGTCATGAAGGGGTTAAAAAAGGACCAGAGTGTATCAGTGAGTTAAAAATAATAGCAATGATGATGATATTAATAATACCACCATTATCAACTACAACATTATTATTATTATTATACAACAAAATAGTTTAAGTATTCTTCTGCCAGAACCAAAAAAGTGGAATACCACTCACCGGATTTCCTTTGTGCTCTTGTTTTCACCTTTGGAGAATTTCGTGGTGTGGAGTTGGTGTCAGGTTTTATTCTCCGTGGTCTAGGTTTTGGAGAATTTCGTGAACTATCAGATTTCAGCCTCTGAGGTTTGGTTTTTGGAGTAGCAGCATCCTTGGTCTGCGGTTGTGTAGCTCTGCCTCTCTTCAAAGGAGTTTTCCTTGCAGAGCCTCGAGCTGATCTCACGCTCAAAACCCTTTCAGGCTCTGGGCTTGTTTTCTTTCCTATCAGTATCCGTTTAGCCCTTTGTCCATTCTTTGTTTTCTCTTCTTTCACCACATTTTCCACTTTAACTCCCCTCTTCCTTTTTGCTGTAGTTTCCCCTCCTGCTTTCCCATCAAGCTCCTCATTCTGTTCTTGCTTCACAGTCGTGGAACTTTCTCTCCTGGCTTTTCTTTTAGATGTAGTCTTCTCAACCTAAGAAGGCAAATTACATTTACAGATCAGTATTGGATGTGCAAGAGCACATCTGCTTTCCCGTATTACTTATTTATACTAATGGAGAAGGGAAGCTTTTGACAGAGACTGGGTTTTATGAAGAACTGCAATGACTATCTACAACTGAAATGCCTGAACTGAACGCCTTATCTACAACCGCCTGAGTCGCCACCTCGCTAATAACAACCTTTTGTACCCCTTTCAGCCTGGCTTTCGCCCCATGCACTCCACTGAAACCGCCCTCCTAAAACTCACCATTGACCTACTAACTGCTAAAAACAACGGCCACTACTCCTTACTCTTGCTATAGACCTTTCTGCTGCTTTTGACACTGTTGATCACCCGCTGCTCCTCAAAAAACTCCACTTGCTTGGCCTACAAGATTCTGCTCTCTCATGGTTCTCCTCCTACCTAGCTATGCGCTCTTTTAGTGTCACCTACATATCTAACGCCTGCCCTCCTCTTCCTCTTTCTGTAGGGGTCGCCCAAGGCTCTGTCCTTGGACCCCTTCTCTTCTCCATCTACACTTTCTCCCTTGTCAGTTAATACCTCACATGGCTTCCAATACCATCTCTATGCCGATGACACTCAAATATATCTTTCCACTCCACAACTCACCCCCTCAGTGTCCTTGCGTGTCACTAATCTACTAACTGACATATCCGTCTGGATGTCACAACACTTCTTAAAACTCAATCTTTCAAAAACTGAGCTCTTGATATTTCCTCCTGCCCATGCACCTTCCCCCAACATTTCCCCTTGAGATTGATAACACAACCATCCATCCCTCCCTCCCCTCATGCCAAGGTGCTAGGTGTCATCCTTGACTCGGACCGCACCTTTCTTCCCCTCACCCAATCACTATCTAAATCCTGCCGCCTTCACATTCGTAACATCTCCAAAATACGCCCCTTTCTCACGAATGAAACCGCAAAATTACTCATCCACTCACTTGTTATCTCTTGTCTTGACTATTGCAACTCCCTCCTCATTGGCCTACCTCTACATAGGCTATCCCCCTTCAGTCTATCATGAATGCAGCTGCCAGACTCATTCACCTAACCTATTGTAAAAGAAAGTGTCTCTAGAACGAAAAAACTGCTGCAGGTATAATAGGGCACTTGTGCACTTATACCTGCAGCAGCCGCAGCAAGCCATCAGATGTGGCCAAATACCAACCAGAACTCTCAACAAGGAGCCAAGCCCATAAATGTCTATTGGAAAGCCTCCAACACTTAGGGCAGATCAAAAGATCGGTAAAACAGGTGAGCTTAAGTGAAACTATCAAAGAGATACAGGGGATGCCTTTATTAATACAATCCTCGCAAGACTTTTGTCTCTTGAGGGTTGTAAAGTAATTTAAAAAACGTACGATCTGCCCATCTTGGACAGGCAGATCGTAATTGCGATCATCGCAAGCCCGCCCCCTTAAGAGCAATAAGGAGCAATTTGTAATCTCACAACTCAAAAGGCTGCAGTTAAAAAATAACAACTACAATAACTGAAAATGCAATTAAAGTCCAGCTTATAAAAATACAAAAATGAATAGTCCTGCAGGGGTTAGGAAATGCAGCTCATGTGTTCCCATGACAACTGTCTAAGAGGGGATTTCTCTCACATTGTAAAGATATTCTCTCTGTTGACAGGAAGTGATGAGAAATAACACACAGATGGGGGGAAAAAACTGACAGAGATTTTAACCCCCCACCACCACCACTCCATCCAAAATTTAAAAAGTTTTGGCTTTAGATATATTGTAAGTCATTCTACCATCAAACACAGCATTGTGCCGGTATAAGAAATACACTATTACACTATATTTTCCACTATAGCACATACCTTGACTGGTTTGCTGTCTGCATTTATAGATTTCCTCGGTTTCTTTACTTTCCTCCCTTAAAAATTAAATTACTACTTCATTAGTTGCACTGAAGAAACAGAATATAGATAGTAGTATATATGTCCAGGTGCATCAAAACAAAAAGGTGTTCAAAGTCTTGCAGTTTGGTTTACTTAATAAGCAGACAGAGCCAGAGTGGAAAAGCCTGATTGCAGAACTATAGGTCTGGGGGCGTCAGACCTCTGCAGAGAGACCACACCGAGAAAGTGTTTAGATGCTGGCAGAGGACAGGCTTTTCTACCGTGGCTGCTTTAAAATAAAAACAAAATGTAAGACCTTGCAAACCTTTCGTTTTGATACACCTAGAATACATTTATTCAATTTCAACTGAAAGTTCAATTGGGCTTTTTACCGGGGCCCACTCCTGTTCCATTGTGGCAGATCTACAGTAAGCATGTGAGAACGACTATTCTTAGGTTTATGTGAATAACTTAGTTCTTAACACAAGCTTTTTATTCATTTTTATATGTAGAAGAAAAACATAGTGCTGCTTGCACATTAAGTGTAATTTCCCGCTCAAAATCCACATGCTCTTTATCATCTCAGGTGAATGGATAGTAAAGACAGAAAAACAATTCCATTAGCTGGACAGTTAATTTGAATTTAAAAACTCACCCTTTGGAGCAAGTGGGCCTGGATCCCCCTGTAATGAGACAACATAAGATAAACCTAAACTTTGTACAATGTCTTGTGAAATTTTCCATTAAAGCAAACAGTAACATCCATCCCAACAATATGTAACATAAAATCATACCCTTTTCAGAATGCTCACAAACCATTAATACCCCTACCTTGAACCAGATGGTCCTCCCATTGCTATCTTTCATAGTCTTCATTCCAGAGACAAAATAACACTGCAGCCACTTTCCAAAGGCAGCATAGTCCATTGAATTTTCAGGGTCATAACCTTTACCTCCTATGGTAAATACATTCTGTAATTAGATATTGTTACAGTGATTTATTTAAAAAAAACACAATGGGGGGGGATCAAAAATGGAGCAGTTGCCCATAGTAACCAATCAGCTTCTCTCTTCAGGTAACCTTGGAAAATGAAAGCGAAAAGCTGATTGGTTGCCACGGGCAACTGCTCCAAATTCTGTCTGCTCCAGTTTTGATAAATTTCCCTTGCTGTCCTTGTTCTCTTGCTTATAGTGCCATTTTCCTTTACTCCGGCAGGGTAAAGTTAAAGGTTCACCTAATTACCCTTTTCCCTGGCACCATATACTCGCCTTTTCTTGCCAGCGAGAGTAAAGTGAATTACCTGAAACTTCGGGGTATAGGTGAGCATGTGACTCACTCCCCCTCTCCTATCTGACAGTGCTAGGTGCCTCTTGATTGGTCCATCGCTGTCACATGGAAAGAGTCTACAGCCCTGTGTGAGCACTATTAAGTCAGTTTAGAGCTTACACAGCAATTTCTTTCTCCAGTGCTGTCAGGCGAAATGGAGTGGCACAGAAGCAAGGAGAGGTGGGTAAAAGGCTCATGCACATGTGCTTATGATTGAACATAAGATTTCATGTAGGATCATGCCAGCAAAATCTTGTCCATACACTGTATGCATGTGACGTTTGTGCCAACGTATACATACTTACATACAACTAAGCAAATCATGCGGCAGGAGCTAGCTAGGCAGCAGTTGCCCAGGTGCAAGCAGCTCCAATAGAGTGCATTTGCACTATATACATGTAAACGTTAGGATTGTACAGCGTACATACAATTCATATGTAGTAGCATGGATGCAGATTTTTTTTTTTTCCAGATCTGGGCGCAGGGCAAGTTTATTGATTTTTTGTTTATGCATTGGTGTGCATAAACCCATAGAAAATACACCTGCATTCAGATCCGTATAAAAACTCTACTGTAAAGTGACACTGTCACCAGGTTCAATACATCATAAGAATGTAGAAAAGTAGCACTTACTCAAGCTCCTATTATTCTGCTAATTAGTTCCTCTTTGAGAACAGCTCTGAAGTTCTCTACAATCTCAGACCCTCCTGGGAGTCTGAGTTGTTTTATCAATCTGACAATCTGACAGCAGCAGCTACTCCAAACTCTCCTACTGCTCCCCCCTATCCCTGGCATTAACGGATCTCATGATCAATACATTAGAAGACTTGAGATCTGTGATTGTCTGTAATAGCAGTGCAGAAGCATGCTTGTACTCACCCCAGTGACAGCAGCTATGTTTTCAGGGTTTGTGTTGGGGGGGGGGGGGGGGGGCCAACACCA